CACTTATTTTTTAGTTATTCATTTGTTTTTTAATGTGTTGGGCACTGAACTGCACGCCAGCTGGTTTCTCTGAGATTAGATGTGAAATCAAAGACGGTGTGCAAACACATTAGCAAACACCTTGTCTTTGTATGAACTTCAAGTAGAGGACACAAAGTGACTGCCAAAATAAGAAATGATATAAAAAGTTTGAAAACAGTCATAGTCAGAAGAACATGATGTGTTTCTCATTTAAAGTTTACCTGAAACTGTGTGGAAAATTGACTGAATAACTTTAGAAATCTTTGAGCATTCATTATGTGTAAGCATCCACTACCACAAAACAATCAAGATCATCGTTTTACCTACACCTTACCCTCAGCCTAGCTGGTTTTCCTGCCACAGTTTAAGACACAGAGATGCAGAGAAAATGAAATAAGAAAAGACTTTGACCTGGTAGAGTCTTATTGTTTTCTGCATACAAGAAGAAGGACATCATTTCAATTACATTGTGCCTCTATCTTCGTTAAGGCTGGAACGAGGCACAGCATTGCTTCATTCTATGGAGCTGGTCATAGAGTTAATTTAGCATATTCCAAATGTATCAATAATCCTTAATAATGAATTGTAAATTTAGCAGCATGTGATAATAGTGCACAGGCACTATTATCTGTAAACCCATTTCCTCTCCCAATCTTTCACAACATTTATCGTGAAGGATTGGGAGCCTTACATTTTCTAATTATGTATTTCCATCTTTCTGCATCATTAAAGCGGGCTTTTCTTTAAGAGAAAAGATTAAACTGCCCGGCTTATGCAAAAGGATTACGGTAATAGAAAGCTCATTCAGGAAGATGAGAAAACAAAGACATCCTCTACCTTCTCTTCTATTCCCACCTGCTGTTCTGGTTTATAGGCTCATTCAGTTATACTCCACCACCATTCAACCCCCTTTAGAGCTAAATTTATCTTGGGACATGAGGTTTTGTTGCGATGTTAACTATAGTGATGAACTCCCACATACATTTATAGACACACACACACATATATAAATGATTCCTGTGGGTCCCTGGTAGCTTTGGTACTCATTTGGGCCGTCTCCCTTGGGTTTCTTGATTCCCATACAGCAAATTTAGAATAAATATGGTTCCCTTGAGAGCAAAAGTCCAGCAAAAATTCCCAGTTGTCTGCAACTCTCTCTGTGAAGTCTATCTCTTATTGTGTGTGTTTTTGTCTTACTTTTTACACAACACATATAAATGTGATTCATCAGGTTCTCTATGCATAAGGCACATCTTATGAGAGACCAACCACAGCCCAGCATTCTGCTGTCATTTCATCCTCTGAGCTAGCTTTTTGTTCAGGCTTTCATTTGTGAGACATGGTTAGAATTTTTTGGCTAATAATTCTACTTCTAAAGGATTTTCCCTTCCCGGCTCCTTTTAAATCTGTCAGCTCTCCCTGCAGGGATGCAGAGCGCATGTGGAACACATCTACAGGGTCACATTCATTTAGACATGTCCTATTGATTATATGTTTATTTTGCAAAGCCCAAAATGGGATAATCTCTAACTATATTATTGTGAGGCTTTACAAGATTATAGATTCATTATTTCTGCAGAGCACTATCAAAGGGCATTGTGGTGAGCTGTGAATGCCGTTGCACTCATATATAGGAAGACATGAGCAGAATTAATAATTTAATGATATGAAAGATCTTCACTTAATACAAGGTCACATTTGTTTTATTTTGACAGCATATCTTCTTCCACAAAGACCAGAAAGGCTGTTTTCATCACAGGCATAAAATATGCCCTGCTTAGATATATTTTTTTTATTCTGCAGATGGCTAAAGTGTCAACCCCTCAACTCAAGCCCTAACTACCCAATCACTTTCATTCATCCTACAGAGACGGGTGCAATAATAAATGAATTTAACATTCACTGACAGCCACAGCGTCATGCCTCACTAACTAGCACTATTATTTAGGAGAGACTCATGGATTGATGTTCTAGTGTAAAGCAGGCATCCGTGATAAGATTTCAGATAGGCTACCTGAGGGTGGAAGTCTGTCTTCATTGATGGAACCCACATCTTTAGCTCAGCCAATGGCATTAGCAAGCTCCACCACACCCGGTAAGCTGACTGGTTAGAGCTAAAGGGTTTTCGTCCTCTAATGGCTAACAAGCTTAACTCCAGCATTTCTTATTAATATTCTGTGAACACAGACGCCACCACTGGACTAGAACATTGCTGGGCCTCTCAAGAGCATCATTTTTTACTCATTATTTATTTCTACAGAATAATAAATATTGTCACAATGTTAAAAAAAAAAAAAAAGGAATAATATAATGGTTACCAAAAAAGAGTCAGACTGAAAAACTGTGAAATAATTATTTATCCTTTGTGTAGTGGTTCAAAATCTGAGGGTGCAGTAATTTAGTAGTGTTTCAAATTTAAATCCCATATAATATAAAGCAGGGTCGATTTGCCTAGATCAGCCAAAGTCAAGAGTCATTCTGCACACTGTGCTGTGGCCTACTTAAAACCTGAGAAAATCCCATGGAGCTCACCTAAAAAAAGAAAGTGATGTATATTTTGGAAAATTGTATTCAAAAAACATGAATAACACAGGCTGTTGACTATGTTTTTCGTAATGCTACCCAGTCATATTCAAAGTGACCCACCTGACCCTAACATCCATTTAAAAGCAGCACATTCTGGTCAGGTTAATATCACAAACTGACCATCTCCTAATACCAGTTTTAATTCACATTTTACATTAATAAATAAATGTTTATACACCTCTAACTCTACACATGTGAGTAATTTCAAACTGAATTACTGTGGCTTACCTGCAGTAACTTCACCAGCAGTGCCCACCCCACACTGTGGGAATCACTGGCCTAGGCACACGCAAAGTAACATATAATTTACTTATTGTTTGGACTTTGATTTAAAGGTATATTATGTAAATTCTGATACCATTAGTTAAAAACATGTCTGCTAGTGCATGAAAGTGGAAGCACAGGAGTTGTTGTCTTCGCCAATGTGTCATATTTTGGCTTAAAATGGACTCAAGGAGCAGGCTGGTTAATATTTAGGGGCAGCTGGTAATTGGCTGGGGAGGATGGTTTATCAGGGACGCGACCAGGAGCCCTGCCAGAAGAAGAGAGAAAGTGTTAACAGCAGCCAAGATCAATTGAACAAGACATTGCAGACTTCTTTAATTAAGTTCCACTATCTTCTTTTTGGTCTTATGAATAAAGTTTCCAGAGATGTTCACGGCTGGTAGGCCAAAATCCAAATCAGACCAGGGGTGCAGGGAATGGTGTTCAGGCAGGTGGAAAGCAGGTAAATCCATTTCTATCCAAGGAAAGGAAGTGACTGATTGAAGCAGGCGAGAGTAGCTGGAGGTGTTTGAAATATTCTTCAGGTAGGTTGCGATTCAGATTTATAGGACAGGCTCCAGAAAGGAGATGACAAAGCACAAACACTAAATGTAGCAGGGAGGGACTTATTATAATTATCATTATGATCATCATCATCATCAATCAGGATTTGAAGACCAGCTCTAGCCTCCACTCTTCGCCAGATGGTCTGCTACCTCACGGTGGGAAATCAGCTCATATAATATTGCTTAATGTTCATGTTCCTCCTCATGTTATTTTAACATGATTTTCTCCCTGCATCTTCAGTATCCACGCTCTAGGTTCAATACTCACCTGTCTCTCACCATGTCTTCCAGTGCTGGTCAACTCAGTCTTCATGTTTCTTACTTGTCTGCTCTCCTGCCTGCAACAATCCTCCGGACAGGAAAAATGTTGTACATCTTGGCTACTCACTCCTTGACTCTCTCGGACACTCACCTAGCTGCCTCCCCTGTTTCATGTGCGTCACACATGAAACAGATATTCCCATTAACTTTTACACTGAATCCGTCAAATCAGATCTTCATAGATCAGAATTGGAAATTTATATTTTGTCCACAAATAGTGGCATAGTTGCAACATGACATAGGTCATGTCATGGTCACAGGGAGATTACCATCGTATTTTTCCTGAAGTCTGACTGACATATTTAGCAGCAGTGAGGGCTTCCATTAATGCCAGGAAATCCAGACATCAGATAAAACGTCATTCAAGACACTGTGTTCTGGGCACCTTGCAATGTTTATGAATACAAGTTAGAGAAATTTTAGATTTCTATAACTATGAAGTCTGAGTTTATACTTTTAACAGCAACACTGAGAATGTTAATAGATAGAAATACAAAAAAAAAGTGCACAGTTTTAGATTCTCCTATAAACCAGCGGTCCCCAACCCCCGGGCCTCGGACTGGTACCGGTCTGCGCAGAGGGAGGGAGTCTTGAACACCTTGAGCTGAACTCTATGCTGATGGAATCTTATCATTCAAATACTGCCCCTGAATTTTGTGTCTGTTTTTGCTCCCACTAAAAACCCTGAAGGTCATCATCCTTCATTGGAAGTCAGTGTTGAACTCCCTGCACAGCAGTGCACCTACATTCAAAATGAGGAAAGAGAAAGAAACAGCGCTAACAATGTTCCCCAAAAAAACTTTACTGGTGCACATAAAATGGATCATGGAATATTATGTTAGGAATACTGCTAGAAAGGATTTTCCCATTTGTATTTTGCTTCATTGTACTTATTAAGGATTCAGATTAGAGATTGAGATCAGGAAAAAATTCTTCTTTAGACACAGATTAAAAGTAAATCAGCACTGATACATATTCTGATATTTTTTCCCACTATTTCATATTATTAGCCACATCATATTACAGTGTATAGATACAGAAGCAACATTTCAGGGCTGTTGTATGTTCTCTTGCAATAATAAATGAGCTTCTACCACAAAGACTCGATATAGGTAACAAGACACAAATGCATACATTATCGTGTATGAAACAGTTATTCACAAGCCATTATTCTCAAAGTGGGAAACAAAGCATGCTGATTTCTTGCCCCTGGGGATAAAACAAAGGGCTCAAGGTGTTTGTTTTTTTTTATTTGTGAATGATAATCGACTGCTCATGGTTAAGTACAAAATTAGACTGCAACAGCTGTGTCACCTGCGAAAGGCGGTGTGAATTGGATTGCTCCTCATTGTGTAGTCTAGCCTATACCAGCCGATGCAGCTGGCCGCCTCTGCTCTGTGGTTAATATGATTGACTGCTCCACTGTCTGTTGACTAATGTAATTGTCTGCAGCTATTTTGGTAAAGACTTGATCAGTGTAAAAGGCGACGGTCCCTCTCCTTGGTCACGGAAGGATCAAGTCACCTCCTGGGTGAAGACAGCCGCAGCAGGCGCGTGGCGGAGCCGCCGAGCGGAGCAGCCAGTCACCCCGTTTACGGTAGGCCAGCCACACCAGCAGCAGCATCACTGTGACAAGCGAGGAGCCAACCACCAGGCTGACTATGACCAGAGCCAAGTCCAGTTCTGATGGTTCTGATAAAAACACAAACAAACAGACCGTAAAAGTCACAGCCATGACTTGTTTGTGCAGTGTTCCCTAATCTCTTTTACTTTCATCGTGTAGCTTTATATGACGCACTCATGAGGAGAATATCTAATTTCCTGTCACATCATCTGCCGTGCATGCTCTGTTATCTCAGATCATCATTTTTGTGTAAGGACCAGCTAATAATTACCTATCTCCTCTGGAAAGGTAGAGTTCTTCACTTGTTTCAACATGGGTCCAAAGGATATGCGATTTTTCAGATTGGTGGCAAAAGTTTGCGAGCCCTCTGAGGGAAGTGCACGCCTCTTCTGAAGGCACTGCTACAAAAAGACGAGGAGATATGAAACAATGAAGTTTGGAAATTGGTGAAATAGCTAACAGGTTATTATCTGTTTGGGTGATGGATGGTTGTTCTTTCTGTCTGTGATGACAAACAGAAAGAAATGTGCATGAAACCAACACAAACAAATCACTCCTCTGATAAATATTTTGGAAAAACCTGATTTCTTTCCTGCCAGTTTTTTTTTTAGTTGAACAAAAAGAGCATGAGCAGAAGTATTTATTTCAAATAAAGAGCTGCAAATATGGATTTGAGCTTGTAAGGAACAGCTTTCATTTAATCTAGGCATCCCATTCTGATTTAGAGCAGCTCAAACTGGGTTTTTGCAATGCAATGTATAGCTTTTCTGTAGCTATACATTGCATTGCAAAAACCCAGTTTGAGCTGCATATACAAGAAACACAATTTGTCACAACAAGAGGGGGGAAAGGAGCAATAGATGTGGACAAAGAAAGTTGCAGATAATGCAGTACAATTTGTGTCAAAGCTCAAACTCTCAAAGTGTTTTACTGCTCTATAAGATGGAGCTTTTATCGTCTATCATATATCCCCACTGTTTTACATGACCACTGTAACAGGAAAAAACAAAAGAAAAATGGCTGAGAACTTAGCAATACTAGAATCACAGCTGCTGTGGGAGCTGTGGAAGTGCTCTTCAAAGCCAGACATCAAAATGAGTCTCTGGAGTTTTTCCTCTCTTTCACCTCCGCCCTCTAACATGCACTTGTCAGATGATTCCCCTTTTCTCATTAACTCAGAGCCCTCATTCCCAAAACAGCAGGATACAGGGGTTGGTATTAGAGCTGCTTGTCTAGTGCTATTCTCTAACTTTGTGAAGACCTCATCTAACCTATAGTGTGTCTATAATCACGTGACCAGGGTTCCAGGCTGTGTGTTTGATTCCTGGGGTTTGACTCCGGTCTTTGTAATCTTGCTAAAGAGTGAGATGTATAAAATACTTATTAGTATTAGCAATGGCATGTTGCATTAGTTGTACCAAAGGATTCTTTTAACTTTGATTCTGAAAAATTATGTATGCCTATGCTTTCAAATAATTTTCATTTACCGTCTCTCTTTGCTCTTGTACCCAACCAATTTAAAGGAGCCCGCTCACTTCTAGTCTGTCTCCATGTTTTCCGTGTCACAAAATTTAAATTACCTTCAGTCGCTTGCTCTTTCATTCTCTCACATCATTACGCTGTGCACCCACTGCAATCTTACCCTTTCACAGTCAGAGTGGTTCCTCAGGCAGACACTCAGATCGCAGTGTAGGTACACTACTGAGTAATTAATCATTTGGAAGAGACTGATGGTGAAGCTGGCACTCGTTGACAAGGCAGTGGGCAGTAGTGTGATCCCTGCTGGTTCTGCTGCTAACCTGAGGCACCAAAACAAATGCAGAGTATAACCTTAGTGGATTTTTTTTTCTTTAAAAGAAATAGTGGAATGTTTAAGGAAAAGCGGTTAAAGTGAGAAAATCCTGCCACATGCCATGGAAGCTGCAGTAATCAATAAACAGTGCACCCTTTTTGTGTCAATATTTTGGTTTGGACTGAGCTGAACACTTAAAAAAACAATAAATCATATTAGGTAAATGTCAGTTTTTGTTTTAGGGTGTTGTAAGATTGGTAGTTGTGGTATGTAATGTTAATAAGTTTTGCTATAAATTCTGATTTAGCGTCCAGAATATATTCACCAGTGTGCTGATTTTTTAAGCGTTTCCTCAGCTCTTTAGGAGTTATTGAGGTTATTATTTCAAGGTAATTTAAAATGATTTACTGTTTTTTTTCTTCATTTCACTCAGGAGAAATACATTTGAAAAAAAAACTGCATATCACTGATGTAAACATTTTTTTAAGTTTAACAGTCACTCAGACTTTGATATTTTACAGGTTGTCTATTTACAGTATATTGCTGCTTCTCCATATGTGTGGAGTGCACCCAATTTCCATCTATCTGACTGATCCTGGCTCAGAGAGATAACACCATCAACCTACAACAGCCTTCTTTTTATCTAGAATATTTAACTCTTAGAAATGGACCTGCAGCTTCCTGGATTGATGTAAGTTATAGTAAAACTGTTTATCTGGTAAAAATAAATAAATAAATAAAAATAAACATTCTTTTAAGCAGTGACAGTCTAGCCCTACGTATAATAACAACCCTGGGCCGTGTGGATAAGTGTTACCTGGTAAAAATGTGATACCTGAATTTTTAAAATTATTTTATTCCCCCATCACCAGGTCAGAGATTTGGAAAAATTGAACATTTAAACTTATATTTAATCCAAAGTTTGAATGAGACTGCCTAATAACCTTATTACAAGAAGTCAACAAACACTGATGTTATCAAAGACATCAGAATTCTATCCATCCATCCATTTTCTTGACAGTTTATCCAATTCATTGTAGTGGGGGATTGCTGAAACACGAGAGTTGGAAAAGAACACAAACGCTTATTTCCGGCTTTCCTGTTTACCTGGAGAAAAGACAGCAGGTAGAGTTTGCAAGGTCTGGCTGGATGGTTGGAGACAGGCAACAGGAGGTGACCCCGAGGTTTATCTGACTGTTGTTTGTCTTTAGGTTGATAACCACTCTGAGGTTCCCCTGGGCAGGTACAGCATCGCCAGGCTCTACACCTCTCCCAAGGTCAAGACTCATTTCTGCTGTGTAGTTTCCACTGCCACACAGATCCTCTGAAACTTCTGTTATACTACCAACAAATTGGTGTATTTGCAACATGAATCTTAACATATTTACATCATAAATATCTTTAAAGAAGGGCGGCACCAAAAATGTTATTGTGTAAAGTACTGCATATTACATACTTTATGTTACTGCTAAACATACACACATAAACATACATCTTATTTTGTGATTGATTTATCAATGTAGACATTCGTTTACATCTATTTTGATTTAGTATAGAAATCAGCTTTTGGACTTGCAGTCACATGAGTATCTCAGGTTGAACAAATACAGCTCTGAAAACTCTTCCCACCTCAGAGTTTTCACAGTTGTGAAGGGTAGTAGTAGTTATGTCTAAGTTATTTTGCTCAGCTAAAATTCCTAATTGTGCTATAAACATTCATTGACTGCAGAAATAAATAAATAAAATGGCATCCTAGTCTGTTTGCCAACTGTGGTTCCTGACTTCTTTTCACAAATTAGGAAGAAAAAAAACGTAAAAGTCATGGGATCATTTCTAGTCAATATTTCAATCATTCAAAATCTCCAGTATGTGTTAACTAATTATAAATAGTAGCATTACCCAGAGAGATACAGATGTGATGAGGTCCTTCCCCTGCGCTTCAGCTTTGGCAGCTCTGACTCAGACTCTGGCAGTAAAAGGCTGCGCCCAGACTCTTCTTTAGCCGCGGCACTCACTAACCTGGTGGCATTTTGCGCTTCAAGTACCTCGACATTGCCTGCTCCTCGGTTTAATTGTGTTTTTGTGTTTTTTTCAGAGAGCACCGTCAGCTCAGTAGCCTTTATTTTGGTCTGCAGAAGAGCTGCTTCAGGTTCAGATAAAGTGACCTCTTTAGCAGGAACCTCCTGAGCCTTCGAGGTCTCTCTGTGAAAGCGTCTTTGTGTTGTTTTCCTTACAAAGTGGGGCCTCTCAGGTGTCCAGTGCCTCTCCAAATGAACAGCTTTAGCTGCCACACTCCTGGCCTTTTCTGACATCGTTTCATCAACGGCGCGATCGGATTCACCGATACTGATGAATGCTGAAAGCGTTGCATATTCAAGGTCAGCGGCCTGCGGTGTAGCCTTTCCAGCTACAAGACAGTCAGAGCTGCAATTGCCATTTTCTGGTTTTGCGCCAGCAGTGTCCTCGTCTCTGAAATGATCTCTTTCTGTGACTGCACCCTGTGTTTTATACATTTTCTGACTAGGATCAATTTCACCTGGTCCAGTTGTTGTTTCAGTCGTCTTGGTTGACCGAGCACAGCCGATAGTCCTACAGCTGCTTTTATTAATAATGTCTGTGGGCGAGATCCTTGTAGTTGGTGCAGAATCTGCCATAAATCCAGATATCAATTGACTTATTGAAGTCTTTTCATGCGAGGTCTGCCTGTCAGGCTGCTCTATTCTGTCCTGCGTATATGCTGCAGAAATTTTCTCAAGTAGAGATTGTTTGGCTTCAAAAGCACTCTTTGTAGTCAGAGCTGTTTTGATGTCTTTAATTAATGAATATTCCATTTTTCTAAGCATGGTAGATGTTGGACCATGCAAACCTTCAGCTCTGTGGGATGTCTGCAGCAAGTCTCTTTGGATGTCCTTCTCTGGGTCATTAATATTATGTGTTATTGCAAATACAGCAGGAGCAGCATGCTGACTCTGTTCAATAGTCCGTACAGAAATTTTATCCTCAGGCAGCTCGGCACTGTGTGTTTCTGTTGTGTGTTGTCTTTTCACAGCAGGGGTGGGTTTGCCAGTAGTAGGAGTTATGGGACGCCCTATCAATGACAAAGACTCAGTATGACGATTCGAGTGCTCTATGTGCTCAGCAGCAGCGCGAGATGAGTTTTCCACAACTGGCACACTCTCACTAGCCATCAGCAGTGATTCGTGATCTTCTTTGGACACAGTAACACCACCTATGGTAGGAGTTGGAGCCAGGGACACGGAATCATCAGTTACTGCTGTTATCATTTGAAAGGAAGAAGTAATTAGCTGGTCGTCAGTCTGGTGTGTGGATTTACTGAGGATAATGATATCATTTCTGAAAGTAATATGTGCAGCAGGGAGAGCACTGTTGCGCACTGAATTGTTTTGCATTCCGGGTGTTTTTTCTGCATGATGCTTCACATCAGAAACAGACATTTTAGTCACATCATCATGCTGGATTTTAGGCATTTCAGGCCAACCTTCTGACTCAACATCTGGAGAGGTGCCAGATGGTGCCACATGTGTGCTAAAGGCAGGTGTTCCAAAATCATACACAAAATTGTCGTCCATAGCCGGCTCAGTCCTGGGCCCAGCATGAACCGCAAGCATGACAGACTTGATGGGAACTGTCACTGTGCTGTTTGCTTCATTTTCGCCATTTACACTGATCAGGTCATTCTCATGAATCATTTTCATTGCTGGTTTATCAGCCTGCATTATAGACAAAGAATTAAGTTCATCTATGTTATCTTTATTGCTGCCGGTCATTGGTGTAATAAAAGGTAAACTGTTCTTTTCAAGTCTCATCTCTGATATTTGCTCTGTGACCAGCTCTAAATGTTTCACTTTCAAGGTCACCATTGTTCGTGCATTATCGTTCTCCTTGATTTGATTTGTCTCATCAGCAGTCCCTAACAAAGACTTGACACGGTCACTTTCACCATTCACATGTTGAGTGTTGGAATTGGCCCTAAGTAAGTTTAGTAAGACAGGGCTAACCGCTGATCCGGTTAGACCTGTCAGCCTATAGGTGCCAGGTAAAATGTCACCTCCAAACAGGCTGAGATTTAGCAGCGGTGACATGTTGGTATGGGGAAATTGATCGTTTTCCGCTTTAGGACTCGATGATGCCGTTAGGGTATGCACAGATCTCTGCTCGTTACCATCAACAGAGGTATGCAGAGCATCTGGATGGGCTGTCTGCTCTGACAGTTTAAATGAGCATGGCTGGCCTGAAGTCATGTCAAAAGAGGGGGAGGAGGAGGACTCGCTGATCTGAGGGACAGGCTGCGCTTGGCGAGGCTGCAACTGGCCTATGGAGATGTGGGCCTCGGATGACAAGGCTGTGGCCGTGGGTGGCCTAGTAGATGAGTGATTATACATCTTCTGGTGTGGACCGGGATTCACTGATGCTATAATGTATTCTGCTTGCTCGCTCTCATTTGCGGTATGTAAAATTGAATTGGCCTTTGAAACTGAAGCACTAAATTTATGCGTCTGATCTGGGATGTCGTAAATAATTGACATATTGGGAGTAGAACTATTTACTGTAAAGTGGGGCTCAGCTCTCGGGAATCCAGCTGCGGTTGTCAATCGATGGGTGGTGAGTGACAACATATTGCTCATAGTCTTTAGTAAAGGATGAGTGAATTTAGCTGCACTGCTGTTTGGGGAAACCGATGGCTTTAATACGTCCCCAAACTTTAAAGTGTGATGTCCAAATGTAGCTTCAACAACTTCGTTCCGGGCACTTTCTTTAGCGAGTGATGACGTAACTTCATGTTTTGGAAAAACGTCCTTGGGGAGAGAGAGATGAGATCTAGTCTGTGTGTATGGCTCTTTGGGAAGAGATGTTGTTTTCGATTGGATGGGGCTCTGACTTGTTGTTCTGTGATTTTTTGTCACTTTATAGGTAAATGATTTATTTGTGATTTCCACAATTGCTGTAGCATTTTCTCCCAGATGAATGCCCTTGTTCTCAGTGGTTCCCAGCTGTTTAATCAAACTGGGGCAGGGAGACAGGTTCTCAACAACGTGTTCTTTATCTCTGTTAAATTCTTTCGAATTAGTAGGGGGTCCAAAGGGAACATTTGTCATGTCCTTTTTCCCAGTTTCCCCAACACATTTATTGTCTTCTTTCCCCTCTGGCGTTTTCTCACTTCTATCCTCTGCTTCTTCCCTTTTTAAAGACTCACTCTGCTTTTCAGCTGCAACTTTTAGGAAATTCTCTTCATATATTTTAGTCACACTGTCTCTTTCAGCTCCTTCTTCATCACTGATTTGCCCTTTGCTTTGATCCAGGTTTTGTCTCAAGGTTACACCCTCCTCTCCATTGGTCATTTCACCTTTTTCCCTACTCATGTTGGCGGTTTGCACTGCCATTTCTTCCCCTTCCCTGTCTACATTTTGATTTGTCTTAGCTCTGGTATTGATTATTTTTTCTTGTTCTTCTTCTCTGCTCTCTTTAAATTTTTCTCTTTGATAGTTCAAAGTTGTGTCTTTCCTGTTTTTCTCTCCTTCCTGCAACTTTATTATTGCGTTCATCTCCTCATCGTTTTCTGTCTTGTTCCCATTTTCTACAACTGCATACAACACCTGTTCATTTTCATCTCTTGATTTTGTATCATTATCTCTTAGTGACTCTCTGATTAAATCCCCACTATATGTTGAATAAGACTGACGAGTTGATGCTACATTCTTCCCTCTAGCTACATCATAAGTTCCTACCTGGATGAGTTTAGACTGAGTCCCTGAAAATTTACTTATTGTCAGTTTCTCAGAAAGAGATTTGCTTGATAGTGTTGGTAGTGTCAACACGGGCATGTCATCACCAAAGTCCTGACTCAACTCTGAGAGAAACAACTTCCTGGGCAAAACTTCTGTTGTTGCGGTGGTTGTAGTTTGTGGTTCTCTTATAACTGGTTTATTCATTGGCCCTGGGGGATCAACAGAAGAATGTTTAACAATGCTGTGTACAGCGTTAAATGTCAGAGGATCTTGTTTATCTGTCAAGTGTGTCTTTGTGGTTGCAGATGCAAGCTTTATGGCAGAATCCTTTGGTAATAATGTCAGTATGGGTCCTTTGGTCTGAAAGCTTGGTTTAGCTGGTGTTTGGAGTCTCAGAAGAGAGATCAAAGAATCCACTCTTCCTGTCTGAAAGTGAGACTCAGGATTTTTGACTGGCAAAGCGGTTGGCCTACTCCCGCTGAAGGGTGTTGCTGCACTGTGAGCTTCAATCGAGCTCATTCTTACTGCTGGATGAGATGCAGTGCTGTGATCACTACCCTCTGTAAGAACACTTATGTGACTGCTGTGGGGAGCTGAACTAATAACAGGCATATTGCTTACCGGCCCACTGCTGATGTCCAAAGACTGTCTTTGAATGAAACTTTTTAAGTTTGTTGAGACACTGTGGGAAGCTGTTTTGTTATTCTTACTGAAATATATCAGGTCTGACTGCGGGACCCCAGTGCTTACTTTTTTTTCATACAGCTCTTTTTCTCCACTTTCTACTGGTTTCCTTGCAATATAAAAGGATTTTGATGAGTGAGAAAATGTTGTAGATGTTGAGACGGGTCTCTCTTTGACAGAAGCTTCACTAGGATAGGTATGCCTCAATTGCTTCTTGGTGTCTTCTTTTGTTTCTGACGACACCTCAGCAAGAGGTCGTGTGTGAAACGCAACCGCTTCTGGAGCTGATGAAAAAAAAAGGTTTGGGGAATCATTCAAAACGCTTTGAGTATGACTCTGAGTGTTACTGAAGGAAAAAGAAGGGAAAGTCTGATCGTAAGGTAAACTTCCTCCCTCGCTGAAACTGGAATGCTTGGTGAGGTTTGCATGACTGACGTCTCTGTTTAACATTTCTTCTTGCACTCGAGCTGACTGTTGATATAAACTGGTTAATGAAGCTGTAAGTTTACTGTTGTCAGGGGAGCCATGAGTTGACAGTGCAGCTTTCCCGGTGGAGCTTGGCTTTTGATCTTTCAGGCAGGTCAAACACAAGTTTGTTATTGTGCTTCCTCTCGGTGAATCTTCTGCTGTAGCATTCTGAAAGATGGATTGCACTGTGCCCAAGCCATACAGGTCTCTTCCCGGGTTTGTGGTGTCCTTGCCTTGAGACTGTTTGTCACTGCTGTCATTACGTGCTGCATCCAGGTTATCAATTACACGAGAATGAGATGCATATAGCACTGGAGGTCTCAGGGATCCATCAGCAGATGTGAGCTTAACAGAGTTAGTGTTTCTTTGATTCCTGTAATCAAGAAGAGTGTGAAACCAAGGAGGGGCTTTCACTGCATCTGCAGTCAAATTGCCCTCTGGGTCAGAGGTGTCATTCATCATTAATTCTATTGCAGATTGCGCAGAAGATGATGAGATCTTTTCATAATTAGAGATCAATAGTTTTTCTGATTCAGTGTCAATCCTCATAGCCGACGGCTCTCTCTTTAATATGAGAGAGCTATTCCCATTTCTGGAGACAAAATGCTTTGAGCTTGGTAGGGAAATTAAAGCTGACGCCTTTGTGATTAGACTTTTCTTATAAGGTTTTGTCAGTCTGGTGTCAAGCAAGACCGCCTCTGGAAACTTGGCAGTCAATGCCATTGCGGTATGTTGATGCGTCTTCTCTGTAGGTATTGCTTCTGTGCCATGACCAGTTGTGTTTTCATTTTTCAGAAGCAGATCTTTTGTGACAGTTGTGCCTTTTGTTTGCTCTGTGAAGTAACCTTGGAAATCTTCTTTTTCTGCCCTGACTACAAAGACAAAAGCAAAACATGTCACTCAAATGTCCTCCCTAGAGGCTCTGTTTCTTAAACCTAGCATGAAAAATAGCACAAAAATGAATAAATAAATAAAATAAATGTGTTACTGTTTAGTACTATTGAAGTCTTAAAATCACATTAGTACAAACACCTGGTAGTCAAAATAAGACCGAGTGACCGAGTGAGGTTAAAACATTTTAAGTCAGCATCACTGTTTTAGTTACTGGAGAGGTTGTCTTGCCCTCATATAACTTGTCCTTGCTGGTGATTTTGAGAAGTTTAAAATAGTGTTAGAAAAAGAGCCTTGCTGCTATAGTACATGTATGCATAAGATACAAAATGTCTGAGGTTGATGTTTACACTGATAATTGCAGCACTGATATCAGCCAGTTTACAAACTGAATTAATCTTTGCACATTAATATTGTGAGTTATTACTCTACGGCAAACTGAGGAAACAGCAAAAAAAAAAAACCTATACCATAACATCATATATTTAAATACAGGGTAACACATACAGGTCACACATAGAATGGATGTGAAAGATAAATCAATTAATATTGATTATATTAAAACATGATCATAAAGCTAAACAAAGTAGTCTTATGAATGTAATACGCCTTAACTTGTGAATGTATTCCTCTGATTTAGGTAATTACTTTAAAATTAAAATGTAAGAGCCAGAATATCATTTATGTATCTATCCATCTACCAGGCATGACACACAATTAAATATATATGTGAGGAAAATTCTTTTAATTTATTCAAAGAGCTGCTATTTTATTTTATTATTTTCGGCATCTTTACTCTACTCTGCAGACTACTCTTTGTTGTTTTTATTTTGGTATTTTCTTCTGATGAACAAATAAATAATCATTTCTGTATTTTTTAATATTGCTTTAATATTTTTTACATTTTAAGCAGTATATTGTATTTTAAGTATTACAACTTTACAGCTCATATATGTGTACTGTATGCAGTTTATATATAGCTGCAAACTGCAAAAAACAAACATATTCTATCTAACATAGAAATAATTTATTAAATTGGCCAATTAATTGATTAATCTGCAGTATACAGGGCTCACCATTAAGTTAAGTTACTTTACTGAGAAAATAAACACAACTGTGAGTACATACCTGGAAGCAGAAAGAGTCCTAGTATAAAACAGTGAAGCATTTTCATTTCTGTTCTGTCTTGTTTGCGATTTATCAGTCCCGCTGATTAAATGCTCCTATTACTGTTTAATCCACCTGAGCAGAAGGTATCAGCTGTTTGCAGTTACTAGCAGATGGTGCCATCCCATGCAGGGAGCTTTTGTCCTCTGAAGTTCATTTATACGTGGATTCGATTTCACAGTAATCCTCCCTCTTTACAGTCACAACTACATGGTCATGGGTTAGAAGATGAACGAATTCAATAAGGAATTTTAAACAATATGTATCAGAAACTCTGACTATAGGGCAACAATACAATTAGTTGTACTGAAAATGCTACATGTTAATGTAAAAAAAAAAAAACAACAACCCAGAAACTGTATCTAAAGGTCTCAAGAAGTATAAACATGTTAATATTTCACTTTTCTAATCAATTTCCCAATAGAAATACCATCACCATGTTAATGTTGCCTTGTCTGGTCAATATCAATCCTTGAAAATACAACAATACAATACAGCTTATTCAACTGTACAAGAAGCAGATATTTGATGTTATAAAATAATGGCATTCAAATCATATAAGATACAGATAAACAAGGTATAACTGGGTGCACTTATGTGGTGATTCATACATGAAATACCTCCATGAAAAATAAGCACAGAATATTGTAGCTGTTCAGTGTTTAAATACACTGTTCTAATACACTGAACAGTGTATTTAAACACTGTCCAGTGTTTAAATACAAGGAGAACGGAGGAGACTCAAATCCAAATGAAATACAGCAAATATTTAATGAATCTCTAGTCAGACTTGGTTTTCTGTAATAGCAAATCAATATAATCTTAAATGAAATTTAATAAATAGGAAGACTAATAAACAACCAGGACTGGCACGTCTTCATTTTCATTTACTTTCACTTTTACCCAAAGGTAAGCAAGTATCAACGCCTAAAACAGAATAAAGGAGAAAACAAGACTGGGGTCAAGGAAGGATATTATAAAATGTGTGGTCAGGGGTTCATGAGATGAGCTTTACACACGAGTGCAGAATCTCAAGGCCGTGTAGTTCTCGAAGTTTGCTCATGTGTCTGGAAAAGAAGAAAAAGTTTGGGGGGATTTTTTGCAAAAGAAAGTAGCAGTAATATATTCAGCTGGTTGGCATTCAATTATAACTACACTCGTGTGAGCTCAGGAACTGAAGACTAACACATCCTCAACACAGTCACACGCAAGTGCTTCAGCCTGGAGGAATATTTTAGTCTTTCTAGGAATAAAGAGACACGTTGTTGCTGCCGACTCCTATTATAAAGTGTACTATTCCAGTTGTACTTGCATAATCGCAGAGGTTCTATAGTGGATGATGGCCCACAGCGACACATCACTGCTTAGCTAAGAACGTGAGGACTTTTTATTTATATCCTCGTGGATTTATGAGTAGATGGATGTTCATACTCAAATTTCACTCTTCAGTGAGAGTCAGAGAAACAATATTTAACTTAACATGTTCTACATCCTTAGAAGGGCTTTCTTCTCATTTATTTTACAGGCTGTTAAAAAACATTAATTTATAAAATCCTCAAATAATGCTACTCCAAAAAAGAGCTCGTTAAACTCATTAAATAATTGATAGCTAAATTTTATGATTTCTTTGCAAAAGTAGTGCTTTAAGCTGCTGGTTTAAAGGTCATTCAAAGATGAAAAAAAAAATCCAAAGTAGAAAATATTTTTCAGTGTTATCACAGGCTTCCAAAAAGTTATAAAGTTAAGTCATTTTAGTTATTTTTAAACTGAAGTGTTAAATAGCCATGTTATATTTTTACCGAAATTTTCAGTGAAAACACTACGTAGGCTACTTTTTTGCTTACGTTTAACTTTTGCTGTGCCGCTGGATATAATGCTGTGACACTACTATTACACTATAATGTTGCTTTTGCTGGGTTCTTGTTTCAGTAGATTTGCACTTCAAATTAGGCTGTGCCTCATCATTACAGCAGGAAAAGAAGGATTTATTTACTTACACTGAAATAAATGCTACTGCCTGCAAACTGCAAGCATTAGTAACGGAGCCATTATTTTTTTCTGTATCATCAAAAATATACTTTTCATGAATTTCTTAAAATATTGTGATATAATATTTAGGCTATATCTCTTACCTCTACTATCAATGCTCAGTGTTGGGAAGGTTACCCTTAAAACATATTCACTACAGATTACAGAATACATGCCCCAAAATGTATTTTGTAACGTATTCTGTTACGTTACTCAATGTTACTCTGAAAACTTTGGATTACTTAATATATTATCATGTTTTTTACAACTACATGAATGTACTATTGCTGTGTGATTTATTACTATTACTGAAGGCTACTCACCATACCAATACCAACTAGATTTTTAAATCTTAATATAAATGAGTAACAGTAGGTGGACATTAGGTAAGGCTGCACTTTTTGCAGCGATCTCGTGTAGAAAACTATTCCGCGGGTATATAAAACAGGTCCGCAGCTCTGAACCATAGTAAAGGGACCTCTGGCTAATGCATCGGGTTCAGTGTCAGGCTCGTAGCCGAAAACTGGCTTTACTTTGTTGTCTGGGTTAACTTTGCTAGCGAGAGACAGAGAGAGGCGTTTAAGGGCTGCTCCAATGGAACTTATTGTTTTGCAGGAAAACACGAACACAGCGTACAGTCGAGTCCTAATCCGGTCTTTAAGTCTGACGTCATTAGCCGTGCCTGGGCCCAAACGCCGCTGTCACGCGATCAGTGCGGCATCACTGAGAGTTAAAAACTGTCTAAATCCTTTCATCTGTAATAAAATGATCAGGGTTACTGCTCTACCAGGTGTAACAATTACGCTTAACATCCAGGCATCCATGAAAACCAATTTAACGGGGTTAAAAGTTAGGTCATTTATAAACTATATTGACTAAACTATTACTAATAAACTTTGATATACGTGACTAGAGTGACTATCAATGAGAGTGAATATGGCCGGTTGACATAAGACCTGCTAGTAAATATATTAAAATGCCACCTAGGAAGCGTGTAATGACCGGGAGCAACATGGCATCAGCTTCAAAGCAATACGTGGTGAGCGACTTGGTTCTATTGCTTACGTGGCTTTATCGAGTAGGGTGAGAGGGTACCTGGGTTCACATCGACACAACTTCCCAAGAGCTATTGCTGCATTTTGCTGCACAGCTGTCCTCTTAGCATCTCCTGCAGCGTGCTGCAGCAGCAACAGCACAATATCAGTGCCCAGCAGGTCACTGGCAACTCCCTCCAAATCAAGGCAGTGGGCCAAGCACAGGGCTGCATTTCCTGAGACCATCTCGTCACAGCTGGAGCTCAGCAAACGACGTATTATAGACAATTCTGTGTGAAATAGTAAATGAAAGGCAATTAGGATGTATATTAAATATATTTAAAAACACCTAAAGAATTTTTAAAAAAATCAGTGGATGTAGTATTTACTGTCCTCATATGTGAATCAACACACACATGCACACACTTTATTTGAATATTAGGTCAGCACTCAAATTTTATTCATGGACTAATGAAGGAGCTTGTTAAAACCAACACGTCAATCATTCCTCACTTTTATCAGAGTTCACCAGCTTCTCCCGTGCCAAGTGACTAGCAGCAGTGCACACTGTCAAAGTCTTAATGGCATACTTAGTGGCAGTCTGCCCGGCTCCCTGGGTAGGCAAGCACAAAAATAACAATGACATTAAAACCAGCAGAAAGAATGTGGATAAACATTAAATTTATGGTGACAGTCAGAGGTCACGTGAAATATGAAGAAAAACTGTCTTTTAGTGGAATTACGGCAAATATGTATATATAGAGAAAATTTGGGTCTCTGGCTTTGTTGCATTTTGTGTTGCTTTGATGATACATGATACAAAACATGAATGCACAAGACAAATAACCAAGCTCACAAATAAGCAACGAATTCAGGCCAAGTAGTTGCATGCGCTACTATGAAATGAATATGTGTTATACAATGACATCTTTCAACAAGAAGAAGCAGATAACTATGGTGACATTTGAGCAGTAGATTAGTGTTCACAGTTACCACCTTCAGGAGCCTGCACATGGTTTTGACCATTTCCCTTTGGATAACATGCTGAACGGCTTGTGAGGACTGGGGTAGGACAGTGCTTAGCACACCTGTGGCTCTCTGGAGAACAATGAAGAATTCTGGCATTAGAAAATGAAATAATACAAGACTGAAAAAAGTAGAGGCTTGAAAAACAAAGCAGAGAATTTGGATAGCAGATTATCAAAAAACTGCTATGGGGCAAGGAAAACTAGCAGAAAAAAAAACATTTGAAGAAAAAGGGTGTTTTCAGAAAATAATAAAAATAAGGCTATTACAAACTGGAAACTCATTGCAGGTTAAAATGTCTAAATTGCACTGTATTATCCAGGATTTTGAAAGCACAGTTTAATATTTTGAAGATACAAACTACACAATATGTGGGTGTGCAGTAGACAAAATAGAACAAAAGTGATGAAAAAAATTGTTCCTTCTTTTCTCTTTGTTTGCCGACACAAAGAAGGTTATTCTTAACAACAAATTAGGACCAGACTGGGTTTCAGGCTGCAGTCAGCTTGGTCTAAAGCCACTACTATATCTATATTATTGCTAATATATGTTGTAATATATCTATATCACTAAAGCACTTCTGGATGGATGCAAACTGCATTTCGTTGCCCTGTACCTGTGCATGTGCAATGACGATAAAGTTGAATTCTAATTCTATTCTATTCTACTGGCAATAATGTGAATAATGCATCTTTAAAAACTTTGAAGGGTGTTTTGAAGAAATTTTTACTTAATATTTTACCATAAAGACAACTTTCTAATGCTTTAAAGCAAATGTTAACTGTCGTTTCCAACCTATAATTGGAACATACATGCTCATTACAGATCCTCTCAGCAAAGCTAATATATATAATATATAATATACAAAATAGCAACACAATAATAGTAATAATAAAGGTGATGCATGACAACATAACACCCACATGGATGGCTGGACCCAAGGTCTCCCAGCAGAATATTGTCCAAAGTATCACAGTGCTTGCTTTTTTCCCATAGTGCATCCTGGTGCTGGGTGTTCCCAAGATAAGTGCACCCAGCCATCTACCACGTGATGTAAAAGAAAAAACATGATGCATCAGACCAGGTCACCTTCTTCCACTGCTCCGAGGTCCCGTTCTGATGCTCACAAGCCCAATGTCAGAGCTTTGGCGATGGGCATGAGTCAGCATGGGCCCCCTTACTGGTCTGCTGCAACAAAATGTGATGCACTGTGTATTCTGACACCTTTCTATCAGAACCAGCATTAACTTGTTCAGTAACAGTAGCTTGTCTGTTGAGCTGAACCACATGGGCTAGCCTTTGCTCCCCACATGCATTATTGAGCCTTAGCCATGCTTGACTCTGTCACCTGTTCACCAGTGATCCTTAGACCTTTTGATCGATACTTTTAGAGATGCTGTGATACAGTCGTCAAGCCACAACTTGGCTTTTGTCAAACTCACTCAAATCCTTACGCTTACCCATTTTTCCAGCTTCTAAAACATCAACCTTGACAATAATAGCTGATATATCCCACTCAATATCCCACTCACTAAAAGGAGCCATGATGAAGAAATAATGAGTGCTGTACACTTCACACGTCCATGGTCATAATGTTATGCCTGATCAATCTATATTCTTTGTTAAGGTTAAAGTCTTCAGAGTGCTGGAGCATAAGCTTTACTCACAGTTATGATTCCCTCGTCGTTATGCCTCAGGAGACCCACACAGGAGTCGCAGAGTGAAACAGAAAGCTCCTTCAAACAGCCACAGATGGAAAAGTGGATAATCCAATTTTCACATTCAATTCACCTTTAAATAGGTGTCACAACAAATAATTGCTCTTTCTGCTTCCTTTCCCATTGGCTTTTATTCTTCTTTTTTTTTGATATAGTCTAATCTATCAATTTTATTTTATTACTATTAATGAATTTTGTAGTAAGAATGTTGTTCCTCAAGTTGTCAGGAAAAAAGTCAGCGAACCTGAGAACTTACCTGGACGACAGGGGAGGTGACGGTTGAAAGGTTCATAATCAAGCCAAGTAAAGGGTAAAGGATCTCTCTGTATTCAGATGCAATGCATGTCCTCTGTGTGGAGAGAGAATAAAACCCTCCATTAAATAATAAGCAGACATCTTTTCTGTCTCATTGTGACAACACTATAGAAGACATTTAATTTCTTTGGCATATGACGTCAACACAATGAATAGCAATTTGCACTTTTCTAAAGAAAGAGACAAATGTGTAACCATTACTAACAACAGCAACCAAGAAGGCCTTCCAACAATCAGGATCATGAGCAAGCTTGTGACGAATGACGTCATCTCTAGCCAGACAGCCGAGACCTGATATCAGTGACGGAAGTATATGTTGATTGGACGTGTTGAAATTTTTCTGAAAAATACAGGAAACACTTGAGTACTTTTTCCACACGCATACAAATTGCATATAAAATGAACCAGTAATTGCATATATTACCAGTATTGTTGTAACTGGCAGAATGACTGAGTCTGTCAAAACATCTCTCAACTGAATACAAAACCTGCAAGAGAAAAAAAATAATAACATATATA